ATATTGTATATTACTTATGAAACGTTGAGGTAAACTAGCTCTGGTTGTAAAGAAACTTTTGAAAAAAAAATCAATCTGACCGAGAAAATCAGAGTTAAAGTTTATGCAAATGAACAAGAATCTGTATGTAATATACAACTCTCTTCATGGGCTATGATTTCTATTGTGTTTTGCCTTATGAATATTAATGAGTTTTATAAGACCTATGTAATATTAAGAGTGAGATTGGTTAGCAAGGAATAATTAAAAATAAGGGCCGATCCATGGAGGGGTCGAAAGTTTTTTTGAAATATTTCTGAAATGCAATTTTGGAAAAAAATCTGCACTAAAGACTTTGTAAATTTACCAAAAAAATTGCAAGCGCTCGCTGTAGTCCAAAAAATTCTTGCATCAACTAGCAACCCCCCTCCCCTAAACAGAAAGATAAGAATATTTAAATAAGAGATAGAAAGAATTACGGAAAAAATTATTTTAGGCCACTTATTTTATGCTTATTTTAGGCCACTTTATTATAATATAATTTTATTCTCTTTTTCTTGTCCTCTCTTACTTCTTCAAAAGTAAGTCAATGTGATGACAATCCGTAATCCTAAAATGTGACACAAATAATCCATAATCTTAATTTATTATAATCCATATCCCACCTTTAAAAACGTTAAATAATCCGTAATCCTAAGACCCTAACAGGGCCTCATCAGATGTCATTTGAAATAAAAGTTACTTGCCCGAAAAAGCTCTTATTTCAAAACGCAGCGTTGATAATACCGATTCACTGAATTAATTTGAGTGTCGGATATTCTTTAAAACTGAAAAAAAATCAACAACAATAAGGAATTTCAATTTTGAGCACAGTAATTGAAAAGAGAGCGCCAAAAGCAATACAATGGAAGAAAAAAAAATTAGAAAAAAGTAAATTAGAAAAAAAGACTGCATTACTTATTAGACTAATGATATTCATTTTATTTCATAACATTTGAAAATGATGACATCAGTACCTCAGACTCTATGCAATGGATGAATTTATCAGTTAGGTTGTTCCTAGCTAGAAATTTAATACACCTATTTCAAAAAACGTTGTCGTCACCACGACACAGTCCACAGTCTTGAGCCTGCAAAGAATCTCGGGGTTTCCATGCGTAATTAATATATTCAAAATATTTTGTGGTTTGAATTCAATGGCGGCAAACACTACTAATATACTATTGCGGCCCATCGAACAAGTCTCGCCATGAGACATTTTCCTTGAAATGAATATTCCACGTTTTTAAAACGTCAATGAGTTTCAAAGCTATATTCGCTATGAGACCGAGAATAACCCAGTTTCGTATTCTTCAATGCTGTGTGTTAGCCTAATTTGTTCGCAAAATATTCCTAATTGTGAGAATAAAAGTGTGAGATTTCAAATCAATTCTATTGTCTCCCTTTTCAAATTCCATGCGTTTTCTCGGGCTATCAATGAAACAAAAGAATATGTTGATTGGTTTTGGAGCTAACACAGAGCAAACCAGAACTCTAAATCGGAGTATTTTGAATAACTGAAATTGAACACATAATATATGGCAATCCCGAGATTCTTTGCAGGCTCAAGACTGTGGACTGATTCCTGGCGATGACAACGTTTTTTGAAATAGGTGTATATTTAGCTTTACAGGTAACCATGGTATATATATAGAAATTTTCTGTTTGGCATCTGCACAATTTATTAGTTTTGTCCATTCCACACATCCTGTGCACCGCTTCAAAGTAAACAAGCTTTGTGAATGAAATGATAGYTTGCTAATCCCCTTTTGTAAGAGATTGCTTGTGAATTTTACACAGTAAATCAGTCATAATTTCAGTTAATTTGGACAAATATATCTTGTTACATTCTGTCGATGACTGTGATATATAATGTTAAGAGATTGATATCCCTAAATTAAATAAGCCGATAGTTTAGATATCTCGATAGATATAGAGGATATTACATTGGGCGCGCGGAGATACGGATTTTATCTTCGGGTGTTGAAAAGATCTCTCACGAATGAGCGTAGCAATTGTATACCTATTATTTTGCCCCCAAAAAAGTAAAAGATTGACAACAAAAAAATTGAGTAAATGACGACATTTAGTCTAACATTTTTTCCAAAATTCCTAAATTTTCTTAACAAAATACGTTGCTGTAGGAACATTATCGTGAAAATTCTACAAAATTTCGTGCCTTTTGTATTATTTTGCCTTTTTTTAATCTAAGAAGGCCTTTGTACAATTTTAATTTGCTTTAAAAAGCAAATGGCAGCGTTTTTTAAAGAAAGAACAACAACAACTGAAGGGGTGTATAATGGTGTCTCAGGACAAGGATCACCAACTCGGCGCTTAAAAGTAACGGGGCCTCGGATTTCAAATCCCAGCCAAAGGCTCGGGCTAGGATTTTAAACGAGRGTCTCGATTTTACCATTCGATACCCCTAACCGACTAATCACATTTTAATGTTTAAAAACATTTTCAATATATTGATAGGTCATGGGACTTTCTTGTCAGAGTATATTTCATGGGCCAGTCATTGACTGCTTCAAAAGCTAGTAAAGGTATAATTGGGATATGAAATCACTTGAGCAAATAGACAGCCCTTATGGGACTAAAACCATGAATTATTAATGAGTTTTTAATGATGTACACAATCATTTGGGAATTACCCTGTGTTTGATATAAGTTTTACTTTTGTACAGGTATTTTATATCTTGATCTAGACTTCCCAGAAAAGCCTTTTTGAATTGAGCTATAAGTCTAACAATTAATTTTTGTTTGAGCAAAACAAAAAATTACCAGACCCATGTCCATTGTTGCACCCAGATCCTTTTTAGTTCCACAACAGAAAATCTAAGGCTCTGGATAGAGATGATTCCAGAGACCCATAGGAATGATTGAACCAATCAAATCAAAGACTCATTCATATCCAGCCAGAGCCTTGGATTACTGAGACGAATGACCCATGTCGTATTAGAATATTACAATTCAGATTTATATCATTATTATTTTAAATATGGCCATCAAATGTCAATAGACAATCTTTAAAAGTACTTAATCAAAGCATCTTGCTAAATGTGTATCATGAATGTAAACAAACTATGCCGTAGGATAGCAGAATTTTGTAATTGAAAATGTGTTACAAAAATGTTGTCCTGAGATTTAAGTATTTAGAACTAGAAATTAGAAGTAGGAACTAGAAATTTGGAATACATCAAAAGCAGAAGATGACCACTTRAGCTGAAAACTTTCTTTTGTATTCATATTAATTCCTAAATAGCAAAAGTTATTTTTTTTGGACAACATTTTTGTAAATAGGTGTATATACCTATGCAAAACAGTTTGTTTTGCTGAACTTAGTATTTTAATGTTTTATAATAGAAATTCCTACCCTACTCCAAGGATAGGGAAATCAAACGACAATTCCAATGTTCAAAATTACCTGATAGCAATTACTAAGTACAAAATTCGCCTGCAAAGGACATATTTCTAAAAACATTTCAACATTTTTTTCCCAGTTTTGTTTTTCTTCAAATCTAACATTATAAAACTATTTGACATCCTAAAAATACTKTATAAGACAGAAGAATGGTTGCTATTGAATATAAATACACTCTTCAATATATATCTACATCAGTTTGTATATGAACGACATGCATATTGCATTTGTCATAATAATTATTATATATAATGTGTGTATATGTACAAATAAATTAAAGTTTGCTATACTTCTGAGCCCTAAATCATCTTTGTTCAGAGGCTTTTATCATGACCGACAAKCATAAAAAGTACTTGTAAAATACTTCAAATAAGACCATGGACATTGCCATTTAGCAAAAATAAGTTGAAAATAACCAAAAATACTATATTCAAATTCAAAGCGAAAAACTGCTGTTTTATTTTGGCAGATTATCTTGCGCAAAGACTTTAGAAATATAGCACGAGAAATGTTGTTATTACTGCAATAGCCTTGAAAATCAGCAGTTATTCACTTTGAAATCAAAAAAACGGAGTATTGGCTCATTATTGGCAATAACTTAATCAAAAGGGACCGGTTGTACATGTACAAAGGGTGAATAGTGCTATCCACCACATAAATCCTTATTTAGAGAAAAAAATCCATACTAAAGTCTATGGAAAAGATAAGGTAAAAGTAGTTCAAACCATGAAGGTATGAACGTTATTCAATTCTTTGAATTAAGTTCATTCGACATGCAATTAACTTTCCATTAACTTTCTTGCTTTTTTGATAGTTTTTCACATTTGTGGCAAACATCYTTCACCCCCTGACTAGAAAATTGTCTTTCCTTTCTATTCAGTAATTTCAGGCTTACTGTAATCATATAAAACATGCCTAATTTGCTTAGTGAATAGCCTCTCTATAGGTGTTGTTAGGGTTGGTGCTACATTTTTCGCAAAATTCTGGAACTTTAAAGTACTTTTAAAGCACAATAATTTGATTTTCAATAGCTATTTTTCACTTCTGGTTTTTGGACGTTAAATTTGTCAGTGATTTAAGATGATGGCAACAGATTCAAGTGGTACTGC